TTTTTTTATTATTGTCATTAGTGATTATCTCAATTTCAGCTAAAAGAATTGACAAAATCCTACACACTGTGCCTTTAAATCAGCTCCTCACCTTCTACCACTGCTCCTTGAGAGGTACTTACGTACAGACTGTGTGGTCCGGCAGCTGCAGCTCCTCAGAAAGGAACGTGCTCCACAGGGTCATCAGGTCAGAGAACAATCAGCTGCTTTTGGGGGAACTGTTAGTTTGTCCAGTTCTATGGGACAGTCAGGCAGTGGAGGACATTTCAGACTTCACATGTAGCGTTCTCTCCTCCTTTAAAGTGTTTGTACAGCTCTTGTGTCATGGAGTCTCCAAAGACAGATCAACTTTAGCTCAGTAGAACTCCTGGAATGTGCTCATCAGGAGCTTTTGGAGCAACAGCATCAAACTTTGCTGCTGCTTTCCTCTTTCTTGTCTGTCCAGGGATTTATTGAAGGGCTCCAGGTCCGCAGATGCAGCATTCTCTGTGGCTTTCCTCTACATTTCCTCCAGTTCTTCTACTGATGTGCAGCGGGCCAGCCTCTGGAAAAGCCCATCCACACTTTTGGAGGCTGCAGCAGGTCCAGCTCTTTCTTGATTGTCGTGGAAATATTTATTAACGGGCAGAAACACGTGAATAAAAAGAAGTGCACTGCGCAGATGGTCGTTGATGATTTAATAAAAGGTTTTGCAAAAGCAAGACGAGCCGCGAGGTGACCAGGGAAAATCAGAGCCCTGAGCACACCGCAAACTGACTAGCAGTAGCTACAGGAAACAGTTTTATCATCCGGGCGGAGCCTCGAACAAACCAATGACAGAGTTACAGGTTTACAGTAGCTGAAAATGGGAACAAGGTCCTTAGACATCAAATGGGTCTTAGGATCATAAGTACAGATTATGAAAGATCGTAGCAGTTATCAAAGAGATACAGATAGAAATGTCAAGGCAGTGTGAACTTAATGGTCAGGCAGAGAGGTATAATTATTTTCCAGCACACTCCCCTCCTCTTGATCAGTCATTGATCAACTAAATTAATGAAATTATAAACTCTTAACATAAATTTAGAAGAAACAACAAGTGCAATGTAAAATAAGGCAAACAGTGTAACTAATCAACGACCAAACTGATAATATCAAAAAATGTAAATTTAACCAAATCATACATGATAAATGAAACACCTTCCAATAAATCAATAATCAATGGGATAAATGTCAAAAATCTAAATGAATTTAACTGGTCCAAAAATTAACCAACATCACAAACGTAATCTTGTCCCGTGCAAAAAGATCTTTAGTTGCATATGTCCCCCCATCCACTTTGGATGTGGGCGTTAATCTAATAATGACTAGTTGGCAACAAATGAACCTTAATTAATGCAAATCAGGACAAGTCAATTAGAAGAAATGCTTAAGGCATTAATCTTCTGTGATGGACTTGCGACCTGTCCAGGGTGTACCCCGCCCCTCACACTGTGACTGCTGGATATGGGCACCAGTGAACCACGCAACCCTGAAAGGAATAAGCGTGTACAGAGAATGGATGGATTAATCTTTAAAATAAACAGACTGAGTGAATCACAATAGCAAAAAATGATTATTAAAACCACAAAACTTTATGAACTTAAGAAAAAAAATGAAGAAATAACGTCACCAAAAAATGTAAATTAAGTTTCCACCCCATCTAGGAAAACTGTATTCCACCCCAACAATCCAAAATCATTTCAATCAAAAATCACAGAGCTCATGAGACATGAACTCAACTCTTTATTTCTTGCAATAACTGGCTTGTGCACCAAGAAAAAGAAAAAAACAAAAAGAAAAAATGTAATCTAAAATCTTAAGATCGAAACAATAGCTCCTCCCTCCTCTTGAATGCCTAAACGGCCTTGCACCCCTCTACCTCTCAGAGCTACTGAAACCATACGCTCCTTCGAGGGCTCTGAGATCATCCAATCAGATGCTTTTGGAGATTCCAAAAACAAGGTTGAAGCTCCGAGGAGATCGGGCATTTTCAGTCATCGGTCCCAAACTCTGGAATAACCTGCCCGTCAACATTAGGCAGGCCGCTTCCGTTCATCATTTCAAGTCATTGCTAAAAACCCATCTTTTCTCTCTGGTGTTTCATACTGAGTGAGTTGACTTAGTGCAGTTTATGTGTTTCTTTTAATGCTGGTCTCATTCACTAGATGATATTTTTATTTTATTTTTACTTGCTGTTTTTATTGTCATCATTGCTGTGTGTTACAGTGTTCTGTTTTAATTTTCTTTTTGTTGTAAAGCACCTTGATAACAGTTTATCTGTTTTAACTGTGCTGTACAAATAAAGATGACTTGAACTGACTTGACTTGAACTTCTAATTTGATTCTAAACTACTGCTACACTGTCCTTCTGTCAAGAAATAGGAAATAGGAAATAGACGTTGTAAACATCTTAATGCTCAGCTTCCTGGACCTTACCACCAATCCAAACAGGAAACAGGAACCTTTACCTGACCTAATTCTTTGTGGCGTACTGAGCATGAGAAAGCAGAATGTCCCCTCCTCAGCTTACCACAAAACTACTGTAGAAAAGGAACTAATTAATAAAATGTGACTGCCGTAGGAGGAACCTCTGAGAAAGTCTCAGCTTGGCAACCACCTAACCTTTACCAGGAAGCTGGACAGGATAAAACTCTAGGAAACCATAAAAACAATAAACAAAAGCAAAAGAATCATAAAAGTAAAGGAGTAAAAGTAAAAACCAACATCTAAAATATCTCAGTGTCAGAAGTGTCACTGAGACAGAGCCTTTGCAGACGTCGCACAGGAAACCTGGAGGGATCCCGTTCCTGCCTGAAGGAGGAGCTGTATACTTAGCAAAAGTCCAGGAAGATGGTAATCAGCCCCCTGAGGAAAACCAGCATCTAGGGACTGAAAAACAACATGACACAACCAAGAAATAACACTTGGAGCAAAACAGTTAACCATTAAAGTGCACAAACATTCAGCCAGTGAGATAAGCACATATTGTCCAAACGTGAGCATGGGCGTGGAAGTGCGGGGAAAGTGGACCTCAGTACCCAGGGCCCAAGGAGGGAGAGGGGCCCATGGAAGTCCTGTTTTTTTTTTTCCCCAAATGAAATTGGCCCTTCAATCAATTGGTGTAGTAATTTATTTCAAATATATTGATAATTTAACGCCCTGTGATGGACTTGCGACCTGTCCAGGGTGTACCCCGCCCCTCGCACTGTGACTGCTGGATATGGGCACCAGTGACCCACGCAACCCTGAANTGTGTGATCAAAGGTTTACCACAAAGAGCAGTTTAAACGAACACATGAGAATCCACACAGGACAGAAACCCTATTGTTGTGAGCTGTGTGATGGAAGGTTTACCACAAAGGGCAATTTAAACAAACACATGAGAATCCACACAGGACAGAAACCATTTTGTTGTGAGCTGTGTGATCGAAAGTTTYCCCAAAAGAGCAGTTTAAACAAACACATGAGAATCCACACAGGACAGAAACCATTTTGTTGTGAGATGTGTGATCGAAGGTTTACCACAAAGAGCAATTTAAACTCACACATAATAATCCACACAGGACAGAAACCATTTTGTTGTGAGCTGTGTGATCGAAGGTTTACCACAAAGAGCAATTTAAACTCACACATAATAATCCACACAGGACAGAAACCATTTTGTTGTGAGCTGTGCGATCGAAGGTTTACCAAAAAGAGCAATTTAAACTCACACTTGAGAATCCACACAGGACAGAAGTCATTCTGTTGTGAGCTGTGTGATCGAAGGTTTATCACAAAGAACCATTTAAACAAACACACAAGAATACACACAGGACAGAAGCCATTTTGTTGTGAGCTGTGTGGTCGAAGGTTTTTCACAAAGAGCCATTTAAACGCACATATGAGAATCCACACAGGCCAGAAACCATTTTGTTGTGAGCTGTGTGATCGAAGGTTTTTCACAAAGAGCCATTTAAACACACACATGGGAATTCACACAGGACAGAAGCCATTTTGTTGTAAACTGTGTGATCGAAGTTTTACCACAAAGAGCAATTTAAACAAACACACAAGAATTCACACAGGACAGAAACACTTTGGTTGTGAACTGTGTTGGCAAAAATTTACTCAAAAGGGCAATTTAGACACACACATGAGAATCCACACAGGACAGAAGCTATTTTGTTGTGAGATGTGTGATCGAAGGTTTACCACAAAAGGCAGTTTAGACACACACATGAGAATCCACACTGGACAGAAGCCATTTTGTTGTGAGATGTGTGATCAAAGGTTTACCACAAAAGGCAGTTTAGACACACACATGAGAATCCACACAGGACAGAAGCCATTTTGTTGTGAGCTGTGTGATCGAAGGTTTACCAGAAAGAGCAGTTTAGACACACACATGAGAATCCACACAGGACAGAAGCCATTTTGTTGTGAGCTGTGTGATCGAAGGTTTACCAGAAAGAGCAGTTTAGACACACACATGAGAATCCACACAGGACAGAAGCCATTTTGTTGTGAGCTGTGTGATCGAAGGTTTACCAGAAAGAGCAGTTTAGACACACACATGAGAATCCACACAGGACAGAAGCCATTTTGTTGTGAGCTGTGTGATCGAAGGTTTACCAGAAAGAGCAGTTTAGACACACACATGAGAATCCACACAGGACAGAAGCCATTTTGTTGTGAGCTGTGTGATCGAAGGTTTACCAGAAAGAGCAGTTTAGACACACACATGAGAATCCACACAGGACAGAAGCCATTTTGTTGTGAGCTGTGTGATCGAAGGTTTACCAGAAAGAGCAGTTTAGACACACACATGAGAATCCACACAGGACAGAAGCCATTTTGTTGTGAGCTGTGTGATCGAAGGTTTACCAGAAAGAGCAGTTTAGACACACACATGAGAATCCACACAGGACAGAAGCCA